GAGGCGGCCTAGGAACCCAAGCCCCGACCCATTCAACCTGAGGTTGCTGCTTCAAACAAAATCCCCATGGAGGGCCAAAGCATCTTTGACGCCCGGGTAGCCACTCTCAAGAGCAGGGATGCTGTCTTCCCTACCGAAGTCTCCAAGTACGCCGAGACGCCATGTTCCAAGCTTGCTGCTACAGCTTGGGGTCATCTTATGGTGGCATGTTTATGAACTTACTTTCTTATCGTTTGCATTTTTCGCCTTTCTTAATGATGTGTTCATTTTGTAGACGAACTCAATGATCCACTCACTGGTGGAGCACTCTGACCATTAGATGGCATTGCTGCAAGTTTCTGAGGCGAAGGCRAAGGCCCTGGAAGCTAAGGTACAGGCTACTGAGGCTAGGACATGGGCCTCCGAGTCTAAAGTGACAGAGTGCCAGGCCAAAACGCTAAAGGTTGTGAACTATGTGAGGATGTGGGAGGTCGAAGCGAAGTGAAGGGATGAACGCATCCGCGAGTTGGTGAAGGAAGTCAAGGAGCATAAGGCTCTCCTTGCCGATCGTGAGGCCATCTTCACGTAGGAAATCAAGGAGGAYGGGCCCTTGCTGTCAAGCCTTACAAAGATTCTCCAGAGTTCGGCAAATTTGTGAGCGAAGCTGCTACTTCTGCGTTCTGTAAAGGCTTCAAATTTTGTCACTGGTTGGCCAGTCATGTGTTTCCTCAACTCAACCTCAAACTGCTTACTACCATTGGGGTTTCCACGGAGATGGTGATCCAATCAGAGAAGGAGGACTCAGACTCCGAGGAGGAAGGTGATGATGGTGATGGTGAAGAAGCTGAGGAGAAATCAGGTAGTTCGGATGTGGCAGTTGACGAGGTCATGGAAACCAATGAGGTTGCTGCTGCAGGTGAGTTCATGGAAGTTGAACTGACCAAGGACTCCGAGCATGTTGATGGTGGGGGCGAGGAGCCCCATGAAGACTGATGTATTTGCCTCTTTTCTTGGACCTCCCAGTATATACAATGTATACCGAGCCTCTGAGATCTACTTAGTAGAGTGTAGTTTTTTTTTGTTTGTACTAGAACAACTTTTAGGCTACAAAGTAATGAAATACTTTCTTTTGTCACTTCGTGTACCATCATATATTTGCAAAAAATTTTCTAAGTATAGATTACCCCGAGGTGCCAAGCTGACGAGCTAGGCACAATTAAGAGTAATC